TGTATCTTCCGTTATTATCCCGAGTTACGTTACCTAAAAAGGTGTTGTTCTACTTTTGCTCCTTCGTTTGAATGAAATTTTGTTTCAGGAATCTCCTCAATTTCCTAAAATTTTGATAACTGGTTATTTACTGTATTTAATACGTGTATTTTCATTGGAGATTTTACCTGCAATGAACCAGCCAAATCTGTTTTTTTGCAAAACGGCTATTTCCGATTTTTACTTGACCTATGCATAAAATATTATAAAATAACTCAGCACCTAAAAGAGCATCAATGTCCGATGTTCTATAAAATGTAATGGATTTGTTATACTAGGTACAATTATAAGTGGGATATTTGTCTCATATTTGCCTTGTGTCAATGAAATTTTGGTTGAAAGTGTGTAGCGAATATTAGTTTCTAATTGATTGAATATTTTATTTATTAAAAGATCGAAACTTAATATTCAAAACTAAAAATATGTATAACTTTTCTAACTTAATAACTAATATAATTTTAAAATGCGTTTAATCAAAAGAATCGTACTGAATGATGTATTATTTACAATGAATTTCTGTAGAAAATTTCGGCCATGTATTTAAATGATAAAGAAATAGAAGACCAATTTAAGATAGGTAGAGATAGAAACGAATTGGAAACTAGTATGCGAAACTTGGCAACAACAAATAGCTACATTTCAAACGTGATACAATGAAATCACTTCTTAAATATAATAAAGGTTATGAGTGGAAAATACGGCCCTAATGTGGTTTTAACAATGTTGACTCACAATCAGGTAAAGTTTGAATATTTCGCTGTTGTACAAGTTATAATAGGTACAATAATGTAAAATAAGACGATGAAAGCAATGTACAGTCACAAACAAACACAATCGAATAAAAATTATTAAGTAATCTACCTAGTTAAAATTGTAATTAAATAAAAAACGTAATCTTAAAAAAAAACATTTCGGCGAACAGCGACGGAACATCTACCATGAATCCTAATTTTCACCAAATAAAAGCCTTAGACAAAAATTTTCAGTCTCTCAGAATCTTTCAGAGTCTTTCAGCGTCTCTGAGAGCGTCTCTTACAGTCTTTCACAGTCTCTCAGTTATTGCCTAGGTGTTTTTATGGATCTCTCACAGTCTCTGTATGAGAGACTCGAACGATAANATCTATAATATAAAAATGAATCGCAAAATGTGTTGGTAAGCGCATAACTCAACAACGCCTGGACCAATTTGGCCAAATCTTTTTTTAAAATGTTCGTTGAAGTTCAAGGATGGTTTTTACAGCGAGAAAAATTAGAATTATTGCTGGAAAAACCCTAAAAATAGCCCTTTTCTTTTTCCCATACAAATGATTACTAATCAAGATGATGTAGTCAACTATCCACCGGAATTTTTAAACTCGCTGGATTTGCCAGGATTGCCACCTCACAATCTTCAATTAAAGGTTGGATCGGTGGTTATAATGTTGCGAAATATCAACCAACCGCGTCTTTGCAACGGTACACGGTTAGCGATAAAAAAATTACTAAACAATGTGATAGAAGCAACTATACTCAAAGGAAAGTATAAAGGAGAAGATGTTCTCATACCGCGCATCCCAATGATTCCGACTGATGTGCCATTTGAGTTTAAACGACTACAGTTTCCAGTGCGGCTTGCTTTTGCTATGACTATAAACAAGTCCCAGGGGCAATCATTAAGTGTTTGTGGTATTAATCTAGAAAACCCATGTTTCTCACATGGTCAATTGTATGTTGCCTGTTCCCGTGTTGGAAAACCAACAGATTTGTTTATCTATGCGCCAGGTAATCAAACAAAAAACATCGTATACCACAAAGCACTACAATAATAATAATAATAATAATCTCTCGCTGGATGGCTGGATCAAGGGCCAGATACAGAAGGCGGTAATCCTGGACACGGCGCGCATTGTCAGGAGGTTCCTCTCTCTGCGGCCCTAACCGCCGGTAGCTTGGGCCCTGCCCCGTTGCTGGCGGCACCCTAGGTTAGGTTTTTTATACTGTGTTTATATTTTGTACTGTATTTTTTATTTTACTTTTTATATGCATTTTATAAAAAACCTAGCCTAAGATCTAAAGTAAATAAAGGAGATAATAATGAACATTCAATGTCATCATATGTCATTTCATTTTAGCAGCGATAATTATTCTGTTTAAATAAGTTTAAAATCCCCGGTCGAAGACGGGGCGAGCAGCTAGTATATTAATAAAAATTTTACAATTGTTTCGCCTCCTTGAGGCTTCTTCAAAAGTATTACTTAAAACGACATTAACAATACAGACTTATATACAACTACGTGCTAGAGTGAGGGGTTGACAAAGAGGTTTAGTAAGAGTGAGTTATTAAGATCTAATTGGTCATTCAGGAGTACGCTGGTGTTTTTATTTTTATTTATTTCTACTGTTTCTAATAGAGAAAGTCGGTAGCTTTTAATTACTAGATGCAGAATTTCAAAGTTTTCGTTAAATTTATGGTTTTCATCATTTAGATGTTTTGCGTAATTCGAATCTAATTTTTTGCCGTAAATTTGCATTTAAATCGACACATTTTTTTAACCAAGGTGATTGTTTAAATTTTAATATTTGATGAACCTTTTCTATTTCAATACCTAAATTACAGTTTATTTTAAATTTCTGTAATGATTAATATATTCTTTCTTATCGTAAAATGTATCAATTTTGATATTTTCGAATTTGATCAGGGGGAAATTAAATGTTCTAGAAGCAACGGTAAATATAGCAACCCATTCAAATTGACCTTCCGGTAGTGGGAATGTCATTGCATAATCGTATACGTTATTTACGTTATATGTAATATGATGTAGGTTCGTTTGGGTTAAAATTGTTTCCCATGCATTTATTATTCGCTTTTCTGTACTTATTACACGATTGTGACATCCCCCCTCGTATGTCACGTTCTAAGAACATTACAATATCAACATCAGTTAATAGATCTAATTCTATTTTTGTAATTTTAAGCATTCTATCAAAAGCAAGTCCTAGTGCGGTATAATAATGTAAGCTGTAATTTTCAAATACGTCAGGCGGTAACAAAACATCTGCTTTCAAATATAATTCTGCATACTGTTGTGAAATTGAAATTATAAAAGTTTCCCACACATTCATGTTCGTAGTCCGCTCCCAAAAATGTGACAATTATCAATTGTGCTAAAGCTAAAGATTCATTCTTTAGGTGGTAGAATAGTATCTTGCAATTTTTCCCTACAGCTCAAATATTCATATGGAAAAACACCCTTATGCTGTACCAATTTAAATTTATTTTCATTTCGACAATATTTCCTTGCTATTATTTTCTATTCCCTATTTACTTAGATAGGAAGTTAATTTATCAAAAGTCCAAAGTTAATGTAGATAGGATTAATATATTTCGTAAACAGAAAGTATTTTTCTTTGCTTACAGGTAGTAATGACATTCTACTTTTTATTTCTACACTTAAAGCTTTAATTAATTAATGACTATTGTATCCAGATAAATAACAAGCATTATGTGAGTGTTTTTATAATTTAAGTTAAATCCAACATGGGATGATCTTAAACTTTAAGAGGTCATTGTACATTTCTAACAGAGCGTGTTTTGTTTTTCTTTTTATTAAGTTCATTTCTAAATTTTATTTTAAAATGCTTTAATAAAAATAAAACCTATCTCGCCTATTTTTTATTGACTTCTCTAGAGTCCTCTGTTCTCCTATTCTTTCTAATACCTCTTCATTTCTAATCATCTCTATCCACGGTATCCTCATCATTCGCCTGTAACGCCACATTTC